AATTATACTTAACATAAGTCTAATTAGACTTAACATGAAAAAAACTAAAATTTCACTGTAAGTAATTTACGTTTAATAGGAAATTAAATAGACTTAACATGTAACTTATGGGTAATAGTGGCGTGCATCTAGGGATATATGCAACTCCTGACTTCTTCAAACCCTCCAAAGCGATTTTAATGCCTCTAATAGTTTCTGTATAAATGAATCCCCCCTATGCAACTTTGTTCACCCTTTCAATACTATCCACATACTTGGATAATAGTCTAGGGATACCTTGCACGCCTCTGGGGTACCATATCATTGAGCATTGGTAAAGTATTTGCAGCAGAATATAGTCTTAAATATCCTTCTTCTTTTTTTTATTCCACAAGACTTTCTAGTAGATCTTCAACATATCTTCAAATGCTCATTGGTGCTCTTCTTTTTTGTCCATTCTCCCCCTCTTCATGCATATACAGTTTAGCAAAATGTTCCCTTCATATTATGCTTTTGGGGATTGGTATAAATAATTTCCACATCAATTGAGAAACTAGTATGATTATGAAAATCCAAGTCAAAGTTAACAATTCTTTTTTTTTCATTTTAGCATCAGAGATAGAAAATGTTTCATTACAAAGATCATAATAACTCAGCACTAGCTCAAGTGTTGGACGATCACGTGCAGGAGCACCAAAGAGAATATAATGCTCAAATGTGGATCTCTCATATGTATCCCTATGCTACTGACACATTTTAGGGGCAAGATGCTTCATAAATTCACAATATGCACCGAAACTGGTAGTTGGCCGAATTTTAGCATGATCACCAAGCTTTTTCCTAAAAAGAATGTTAAATGTACACTTAACATGAAGCTCAAATTATTTAATATGAAACTCAGATTATTTAACATGACACTCATTTTAGCTAACATAACACTATGTTCAGTTAACATGTATTTGATTGAACGTAACATTAACATGAGTTTAGTTAACATGAATATCGGTTTAGTTAACTTAGTTTAATTAACAAGTATTGGAATAATCTTAGCATATACTTTATTATACTTAACAATACAAACTCAGTTTAGTCAGCATGAAACTCAGTTTAATTAACATGAAAGTCAATTTAATTTTCATGTACCTCAGTTTAGTTAAGATGAAAACTCAAGTTAGTTAAGATAAACCTCGGTTTAGTTAAGATGAAAATAAATTTAGTTATTATGAAACTCAGTTCAATTAACATGAAACTTAGTTTAGTCAGCATGAAACTCAGTTTAATTAACATGAAGCTCAGGTTAATTCTCATGTATTGGATTAAACTTAATATGAACCTCTGTTTACTTAACATGAAAATTAGTTTACGTATTATATATCTGATTAAACTCAGGTTAAGTTATTTAATTAAAAAACTAACACTTGCTTCTTTCTAGTCTTTGAACCATTCCCTACTGAACTTCTTTTTTATTGCCTCTTCATTGTAGTTCACCCCTTTGCATGACCAAAAATGCTTTTGATGCTTCCTATGTGCTTCCATTCCCAGATGATTGACGAGATTCACCATCGCTAGAAGAGGCACGACCATCATCACTTGAGGAAGCCTTGTGATCATCATCATATTCACCACTTCACTCATGAAGTGCGACTGAGCATGAAGATTTTGCTTCTCTTTTTTAGACCACCTTTCATAGCCGCCAACGTCTTGGCTGTCGTCCACTATGATGAACGACTTTGAAATCGTGAGGAGATACTTCCTTAGATGACATATTCACCGCGCAACACCTATGACTAAGTTAAAATTTGAGAGGGAGAAATTGAATTTGGGGGTTTTTGGGTTCCAGTTAACAATAGAAGGGGGTGGTGGTGGGGGGGGTACTTGAAATGGGAGACGATTACCAATTTCGGGAATGACATGTTGTAAGTGTTGGGAAGTAATTTTAAGTGGGCTTTTTCTCTAACTGCTCACTTCGCAGTCTACTTGGGGTCTTGACACAAATATTGCTAGTATATGGGGCTAAAACACAAGACCCAAAATACATAGGGCCTGGCCACATGGGCTGCTTAATATTGGGGCATTGACACAATTTTCCCATTTATTTTTATATGAGGTCATCCTTTAAATATAGACTAAATTAACAGATTGGTGTATTTAGTTGACACTCTTTACTAATAAGGTATATTTAGTTGCAGCAGTAATTAAAATATATTTAATTTTGACATTAAGGTACTAAAGTTTGCTGCCTGTGATGTTTTTTTACGGCAAATCGTCACATGACCTTAGATGTAGAGTAGTTTGTTTTTTGGCTGTTGAATTAGTGATTGTTTGGTTCAATTTCTACAAATTATAGGAAATGTTTTCCACCCAAAATATGATTTTATTGTATTTCTTAAAAAAATTATAGGAAAAAAGTTTTGAGAAGTCAAAAAGTATAATTTTTTTTTCTTTTTTACTTTGTTTGTTTGGTTCAAAACAAGAAAATGACCTATGACTTTATAGAAAATAACAAGATTTTCTATAATTTGTAAAATTTGAACCAAATACTCCCTAAATTTATAAAAAAAGTGTCAATGTGGTGTCAGATTTCTGGGTGATTTCTGCCAATTTTTAGAGAAAATTAATTTTTGTAAATTTTGATACTTTTTTATACTTTACAGAAAATATTTTTGTAATTTTTTGAACCAAACATAGTTTACGAAAATCTACAAAAAAAATTTAATTACAGAATTACCATTGTCAGACATTTTGAGAAAACTTTTCTATAAAATGGCTAAATACCCATATTGATATTTTAATTCCACCCCATTTACCATGAAAGTATTTTAATTAGGCAAACATGTTTTAAGGTATTTTAATTGATTCAACTTACCAACAAGGCATTTTTTCTCGTCGGCGACCAGTTTTTCGGCGAGAGCTCGTCACGTGCGTGGCACGTGATGGCTTAAACTATTTTTTAGCTACTGATGTGGTACGGATTTTCTGACGTGGCGGTGTTTAAAGGCAGGAATTAACCCTCTAAAAATCCCAATTCACCCAAAATAGGACAGATCTGTGCCACATTAGTAGCTAAAAATCAGTTTAAGTCATCACGTGCCACGCACGTGACGAGCTCTCACCGAAAAACTGATCGCCGACGAGAAAAATGGCCTTGTTGGTAAGTTAAATCAATTAAAATGACTTAAAACAAGTTTGCCTAATTAAAATACATTCTTGATAAATGGGGTGGAATTAAAATACCAATATGGATATTTAGCCTCTATAAAATTATGCAACCAAACACCCACTTAGCGAAGTGCGACTAATGTTTGTATAGATTAAATTCTCGGTTGGATTCATTTTAAACTAAGATGGGATTCAAGTTGGAGCTGAAAACGAATGTGGAGAAATTCTTGATTGGTAGGGCAATTTTTGGATTTCAATTGGGACCGAAATATTAGAAAATGGGAGCTTTTGGTTTCAATTTCGAGTTTTAGGGTTAGTTATAAATCCACCCTAACCCTCTGTCACTAAGGGCCTGTTTGTTTGCACGGAAGTAATTATGAAGTAGCTAAAATAAAAGAAGTAGATGCTACTTTTACTATTTTCAATCAAAAAAGTGTGTTTGGTTCTCTGAAAAACTTACTTCCAGTACTTCCTTAAACGCTTATGTGGAGCCTACATGTCATTATTACTTTCTAAATATTTTTCCAATACTCAATACTCAGAAGTAGCTTGGAAGTAGTTAAAATGCATATTAATTAGTAAATAAATAATTTTTTATTAATATTTTCTTTATTAGTTACTTCTAACAACTTTTCGTTGATAAAATTGCTCTTAATTTTAACAATTATTTTGTAGTAATTTGTGATGGTCATCGACTAGCTTTTCTTTGAGATGAAGAGAACAATTTGTCTATTAATTCTTTGTCTAAATACCACGTTGATGTTACGATCAAAGGAGCGAGGGATGAGAGAAATTGGAGATTCATAGGAATTTATAGTCATCCGGAGTCTCATCGTAGGCGAGAGGTAAACAATTATTTTGAAGCTATGTGGTTGAAGGATTCTTCTTGCTCTCAAGTGACGAGGGGTCATAGCGGCATGAAACTAATTGTAACATGCTAAATCAAATTAAAGAGCGTGACGTGACTTTGAAATTGTGGAAGCAACATATGTTAATTATTTTCTAGTAATATTTTCAAATGTTATCCAAACATAAAAAGTAAATGAGCAGGAAGAAGTTCTACTTTCATTACTTCTAAAAATATATGAAATAAACAAAAAAAAAAGCATTTCCACTACTTCTCACTTCATAGTTTTGAAAGTTACTTTTATAACCTACTATTTTTACTTCCAATACTTTCATTATCCAAACGGGCCCTAAAACTCTTCAATATCAACATTTTTAATCGTTTAAACTTAACCATGTGCGGGTACATGAGGTTCTGGCGCATGGCGCATAAATCTCATGGAGAGATTTTACTTAAAGGATAAAATTGAATTAGTATTAATATCTTATAGTTGTCAGTGCAACTAAAAATACCTTATTTGCAAAGTATTACAATTAAATATACGAATCTGGTAATTTACCCTTTAAAAATATTTTATTTTTGAAAATTGTCCTGCAAACTTTGGTGAAGAGGAGAAAGATTGCCAAATATTTTTAGCAAAACAATATAACAGATTTTATATATTATTTTGGTTTTTAAGATACCAAACGGATCTAAGTGGATCTTGCGGCATCCGGCCCAAAATAAACAATCAATCACAACCGTCCATTCCTATCAATCATCCAATCTCGACCCCTCATTCCTCATGTGAGCCCCAAATCTATCTAAGACGTTACTACTCAAACTAACTCAAAAGTCAAACAATCTCCTATCGCTCCACGTGTCCACTTCATTGGGGCGGGCCCACAGGTGGCAGAAAATTCTCCAATGACTTCGCGCTCTGTTCCAATCTCACTCAAACGACCATAATTAATTAATTAAGTATAAAAGACTCTTCCTGTATCTTTTATCTCTTCCTATTTTCCCCTAATAAAAAAATAAAAGTAACCAATAAACAAAGATCTCTTGGAGTTCTTCTTCTTTTTTCTCTTTTTTTTTGGGAGCAAGAATCTCAGGGATGGCTTTCAAGGTCCTGCTCAAGAGATTCAAGGTATCAGTTTCTTTATTTTAATTTATCTCATGATTTTCAATAACCAATTTGGAGCTACAGTGATTTTTTTTTATTAGTCTTGGCTTTAGGAAAAACAGTTTGGATTATTTCTTCATGATTTGTCCTCTGTTTGTGATCATCTTTTGCAATGAAGAGATAAAAGGTAAAGAACAGAGTTTTCTTTTAAAAAAATTGTGGCTTTTTTTTTTGTGTGTTATTCAATGATTTTCCCTGTTCATGATGACTCTTTGTAATGAAGAGCTACATAGTTTCAAGTTTCTTATCAAAATTGTTTCTTTGTTGAGTTTTGTATCAACAACTGAAACCTTCAGTGTTGTCATTTCTCTTATGAACCTTCAGAGAAATTATGAATTGAAAGCAGTTTTCTAAAACCATATAAATCATTTTACACTTGCAATGTCTTGAGGTTAAAATCGTAATTTTCTTTGTAACAAAGAGGTACTCTGTTGCAAGTTGCTTAATTTTCTAATTAACTAAGACCTTTACCATTTTCAGTATTTTTATAAATAAAGATATTATCTATGAATTCTGTAAAATGCAATGAACAGAGTTTTCTAAAACCATACAAAACCCATTTTATTGTAGCAATTTCTTGAGTTTAAAATTCTAATTTCTTTCGGAATACTTACTTCATTTCAGGTTGCATATCAAAAATTTTGTTGAATTAATTTTGTATTGTTAAAAACTTTTCCTTTCATTACTCAGGAATTCTCAAGAAATTATGTAAACATGGGTATGTTTACTCCGTAAAATGTAATGAACAGAACCATGTAGAACCATTTTATTTCAGTAATTTATTGAGGTTAAAATTCTATTTCTTTGTATATTTGGGCTCAATTTTCAGGCGTTCAAGATCAAGAAAGTGACAGTGAGAAAGATCAAGATCAAGAACACGAACAATACAGACAGTGAGAGGATTTGGACAGGAGTTTCGCACGGGTTTCACGCGGTGGAGAGAGACGTCGAAACCGATGGATTTGTTCATGCTCAGAGAGAGCAAGTTGAAGGGCATGAGTTTTGGTTGTTCGGAGCATTTGATCAGCAAATGGGACCTGGGATTACTAAATATTTACAGTCTCGCCTGTTCGATAATAATCTTAACGAGGTAAAGGTTGCTGAACTTGCATTCTTGATTGAATTATGCTCTATTTTGTAATGGTTGAGCTATGTGGTTAGTTTGCAGAAGCAAGGCCGTACCCAATCTGCATTTGAGTCATAATTGTTTATTTCAGTGAATATGCGAAATTCAGGAATTAAACATTTAAATGAATGGTTTAGTTACATTCTGTGTTTGTAACAATTTTGCTTGATTAGTGAAACTTACTAAGAATGTATGACATAGACAACATTTTTTATGATCTTTAAAACTTGCATTCTTAGATTGCGTTTTGTAGTTAAAATGATTAGGGGTGTAAAATAAACTGATTATTGTTATCCTTCATGTTTAGAACAGCTTGCACATAAACCATGGATTATTTCATTGATATGCAAATATCAGCAACTGAACTTTAAATAAATGGTTTTACAGAAACATTCTACAAATAAAATCTTTTTTCAATTAGTGAAAAACTCACTAAAAATGCAAATACAGATTCTAGTTCATATTCTATGCTAATTCTTCTTGTTCAATTATTCTTGTAGAACCAAATTAGGAGAAAAGCCAAAGCGACAATGAAAAAAGCCTATGCTTCGACGAAAATAAAGATACAAGCACAGAAAGAGAACAATAGCAGAGGATCTTCTAGTGTTCTTGTAATGAAAGGCGAGAGATTTGTCTCGGCATCAATTGGTGGGTACAGAGCAATATTGTGTCGAGATGGATTAGGGACTCAATTAGGCTTGAAGCATCAGAGGAAAGTGAGGAGAAAATGGGCTGTATCAGGTATATAAACTCCCTGCGTGAAATGCATATCAAGGTTTATTTCCTCCATAAAGCGTCAATTACAAAGGGTTGTTTGCAAATGCATCTTACAAATAGTCCATGGTTTATTTTGTTAACAGGTATCCCTCTGGTCTCCTTGACAACATATTTTCCCCCTTGGTTTTAAGTTCTCGTGGGAATCACATTATGGTTGGAGTACATTTGCCAATAATGTATTTGCATATAACCCGTGTCTAAATCATGTTTAATAGTTTCCATACAACTTTCATAATCCAAGACTATACCATATATTTTTCGCCTTACACCACTTATTTTAGTACTTTGACACAAACACAAATCATTAACTCGGATAGGCTAATTTGTATTTGTAATGTAAAAATATCAACAAAATAGCCAAATTTTTACTCATAATGCCCAACAAATTTATGATTTATTGATTTGGGTGTATTTTCCCCCAAAGTCTATGTTTAAGGTGAGCTTCGTAAATACTAAGATTTTGGGGGTAGCTCTGCAAATATGAATGATTTAAGCGTATATATACAAAAAAAAATCTAAGCCTTCTCTAAACCATGTCAACTGTTTCTGTTATCACTTTCGTAATTTAAGACTATAACATGCAGTTTTAGTCTTATGCTACTTATTTTAGTACTTCGACGCAAACATGAAGTCCTAGATTCATAGATTCAACAGATTGAACCAAGTATGCTATCATCGACATCTTAAGCTTGCTCTCTTGTTGTAGATATATGGAACATGAAATGCACTTCTACGAATGGCGAAAACAATCCAAATAAGAGCTCAAAACTCGCAATCTCTTCAAAGAAGGTGGAGGCAGAGACCGAGTTCATCATATTAGCAAGTGATGGAGTTTGGCAGGTATATCGAATTTCGAAGAATTTCTGGCTTAAAATGGCGTAACTCTATGTTATAAAATTTCTTAAATTTTGGGTGTTTGTTTTGTTTAGGTGATGAGAAACCAAGAAGCTGTGGACTTGATAGCTCACATTGAGGATGCTCAAAAGGCAGCAGAGTGTCTGGCTGAGGAGGCTCTCAATAGAATGAGCAAATCTGCGATTCAATGTATTGTGATTAGATTTCACTGATAAATGATTGTGTTTTATGGGGATTTTAATCTAATAGTAAAAGGATGGTTAGATTAGAAGTTTAACCAAGTTGAATATAGAGAGGATGACTGTTGTAAACTTATGTTTTGAGTTTGTTTCAAGTATAAACTTGTTGTATTAGGTGAACTAAGGCTTTGTGAATGTCTAATGTAGAATATGTCCTCATTTTTAGCATGTATGGATTTCTTTACCCTTGGTTCTAACTGTAATCTGATTTTTTCGCTCCAAAGAGGTTGTCCGTACTTTCAAGTTTTCAGCCTAATTTGTCCCCAAAAATGCAATCATATAACATAAATGCAATCAAATGCATAACAATCGCTGACTGAAACAAAAAACTGGGACATGTTGACGTGTAGCATTAAACTTGGTACATTTGATATCTCAGAAAAATCATCTTGATGCCTGTTTTATCTCCTAGATGGCTCTTCCTTTGAGAAAACAACTACAAAGTCACTATATTAGTCCTGTGAGGCTTATTCATCAGTAATATCACTCGCTAAATTTCTTCATCATATTAGAGGTCCAAGCATACAAGCAAGTTCAAGGCACAAACACAGGATTTAAAAAGATAAGATACTGTGTTTACAAAAATTGCCATATACAGAGGGGAACACCCCAAAAAATTTGCGGATACACATCACCTCTAATCAGACCTCGAGCAGCAGCTTTCTTTTCAGTACTCTTATGCTGGAAAGGCGAAAAGAGGGAAAAGGTACGAGAAGCTGCAAAGGGGAAAACAATGACAACAACAACAACAAGCATTTCAATATAGGCAGATGCAATTTATAGGTAAATCATTGAAGCAATCTCTGAAAAAGGAAGAATTTTTTTAAGACTAACCTTTAGGTGGAGTGCTTAAGGAGTGATCTTCTTTAGAAATAAGATCTTTAAGTGTTGGAACTGAAACACAAAATATAGTCATCAGCCAAGAGCTGTAAAATTAGTGGAGAATATAGAAGAAAATACAAGTTGCTTGTACATCTTTCGAACTTTATGCCCGTTGCTACAAACTCAGGGTGATATCAATGTACATCACTTGCTCCCTATGTTGATAAAATTTGTTTTTGTCCTCCACGTAGTTGTGACGTGGGCAATGAGGTGATATAATCTTGCCTGGATGATTTTGTCACACTATAGATTAAATTGTCCTTAAATTTTCCATGTCTCTGATGCATCAAGCAAATATGAATTTTCCAAGTAAAATGCTGCATTTTATCATGAAGGTCTCTAAAAGACCATTTCATTTACTTGGAAACTATATAGTGAACAAGTGAGAAGCTTCAATTATATTATAAGACTGAGCCAAGTTGTTACCATTATTAGAGGTATCTGAGTTAGGTTCTCCTGAAGCTGAACTCTGGCCTTTCCTTCGAAATTTCAGAACTTCCTTAATCCCTTTCGGGGATCCTCTAACCAGAGGTTTCTCATGTATTTCATGGATTTGTACTAAAGAAATTGATTCCATAGATTTGCATGTGTGTCGATTTCTCTCCGAGCCAATTGTAGCCTCTTTTTGACCTATATGTTCTCCAACATGTTCTAGACTTCTGATAGTGGATTTTTCTCTGTGTAATGCACGAGCAAAAGGATCTTGATCTGGCTTTTTAGTGACAGGGAAGTTTGACAACTTTTGAGACACAACCTTCGGTACATTGACAACCTGAATAGCAAAGCATCAAATAGTAGAATTCAGCACTGAAACATGAATAATGCTAGGAATACACAAAGTTGACTCAATTCTTCGCTCTTCATATTTAAAGACAAATATTCTAAAAATCGAACAATAAAGAAAGTAACAACATGCCCAGATTGGACAATCACTTGATTGTCTTTTTGGAAAGGATTAATTACATTCTGGTACCTTGAGATATGTTGTAAGCACACAGGTGACCCTTGAGTCTATGTATCTACCCGGGTAACCCTGGCCCTAGGATCTGTTGTTATAACATCGTTTATTTTCACTGTCATGGAGTTCTTGTTGGATGTTGATTAGAGTTAGGGTTCAGGCTAGGATTAGGTTTATAGCAAAGATTATTGACTATTAAGGTTAGAGCTAGAGTCACAACAACGTAATTACACCATACGTCAGGGCACCATGAACAACATTGTTAGGGGTGCTAAGGCCATAAACTGAAATGGACCAAGCTAATCTAGTTGGACCTAATTGACTAAAAAGGGTTATCCTATTTGATTCATGAGTCCGAGCATATTTTATCATATCCAATAAATAGTTTTTTTTCAATGTGGGGTTGAACACTACATCTAATGCCTTTGTTAGACCAAATGTACACTTGTCAACTGAATGAATACAAGATACTCCTAACAAGCATGATTAAAACTCTCTTTCTACTATAACTGAAGAAGAATGCATGTTTTTTCCACATAAACTACCTCAACCGAATTCTGCAGTTCTGAAGCCAACTCAATTTCCTCTATTCTACCATCCTTACAGGAGCTGACTCCATTCTTCGCATCAGATGCCCTAGTAATGGGAGCAGCGGTTGTTTTATTTTCAAGAATCACAACGGCTTTCTCAACAATCGGGTCATCTTCATTGTTGCTGATTGAAGTTTTACTTTGATTCTTCTTGATTTCTCCACAAGCTTCTTTTGATGCCCCAGTCCTACTCCGTGAAGTAGCAGGCTTAGACTTCACCTGAGACTTGCTCATCATTGTTTCCTTTTGTTGTTGACTACTGCTTATTCTCCTCACTGAAGAACCGGGACTTGATTTTCTAGCTTTAGGATCAGAAACTCTTTTAGCTTGAATCTCACTTGGCCTAGATACAGGGGTTGCTGATTGTCTCAATCCATTCGATCTATTAACTTTTGTGACTTCATGAGAATCACTGAACTTTGAGCCTTTGCTGAAACTTGATGATGGACTTGGAGAAAGCCTTATTCGTCTCTGTACTGTTGTTTCCTGAGATTTACTTGTAGATTGAGCAATAGTTTTGTTGCTCCTAAGCAACTTTACTAAAGGTGACAAATTGGAAGGCTGATCATCGCTGAACTTTGAACCTTTATAAGAAAGTGGAGAAGGCTTTGGTGTTAATGAGGCTCGAGTTTGCATTGGACTTGAAGGTGATTTGCTACTTCTTGGCATCTTACGTAAAGGGGAAGAAGATTTAGGTGTAGAATTACCGAACTTTGAGATATTTGGAGTACTTGGAGATTGGCTTATTGGCTTTTTGAGTTTGGGGAGAGGTGCACTAAGGGTTGAATTAGCAACATTTGAACTACTTCTTGCAGTGATTCTCTTCTGTCGTTCCCTTTTCAAAGCTTCTAATCTTTTCTTCTCTTCCTCTTCCTGGAGCAGACAAAATTAAAATGTAAGCACCTATTTTATAGGAACGAATATCTTATAAAGTGTAACAAACTTAAATAATTGGTTTCTTATAAAAATGCCTGTATAGAATGCTTGATTGAATATTTAAACATCCTTTATGATGATTTACAATAGGGTTAGTTGCGGATAGACCCCCTATAGTATCGCTACTTTGAACTTATTACCCTTCTAATTTTATTGTACCCCTTGACTGAAATTTTTGACTCATTATTCTCTGAGAAAGAAGAAATTATATACCCATGAGGTGAAAGAATAAAAAAGATTTCACTTGACAGGTATATCTGCAAAAATAAAACTAGAGGGGTATTAAGTTCAAAACATTAATATTAATATTGGTTTCTTAAAGGTTAACTCGAGTCTCAAAACCATGCAACCCAGAGAGTTCCCTATAAAATACCAAAAGAAGTGCAAGTAAGTTTGTTCATTTTATTTAAGTGATAAGAGTGGGTAGAGGCAAGCAAGGAACTTTTGGATGATTCTAACTAAACTAAACTCTCTAAACTAATCCTACACTACTACACACAAAATTATGGGTTCCTTCCACTTGGTTTGCTGCCAAAATTGATGAGTCATCACCCACAATGTTTTGGAGCAGTAGTTTGGGAGTAATTTAGAATGTATAATCTAGTTATCACCACACAGGAACCTTTGAAGTCTGCTATTTTAGTAGAAGCAAAATAGAAATACCTTTTCTTTCTTTACTTTCTGAAGATTTGCTTTAAATGCCCGAATCTTCTCCGCTCGTGCTTTTGCATCAGCAAGAGGATTCAATTTTGAGGACTTCCCTCTGATTGTCATCGGTGCAGTCTTTTTACTTATCAATCCCTTCAGTTCTTCTCTTGCCCTCTTTGAGACATCTTTTTGGCTTATACTTTCTTTCTTGATGAAATTTCGTGTCGAAATCTGCATGTCAAAATCTTTCGCAGGATCAAAACCATGAGATTTCCATTCAAAACCACGATCCGGCATTAAGTTCAAATCATGAGGTTCATAGCTCTGGCAATCTTTGTTCCCATGAGAATTATCCTTATTCTTCCGTGCCAGATGAATATCAGAGTTCATCTCAATAACACTTCTCTTTTCTTTCGTCGGTTCCTCGTGTAAGCCTGATCTACAGGGAACAATAAAAGACTCATCACTTGCATTGTATAAAGAGCTTTTGTGCAAATGGGAGCTGTTTTGGTACTCATTTGAAATTGGATTATTATTGCTCACTTGCTTCATTTGTTCACTAATCATTAAATCATCATTATTAAACTTGCAATATCCAGTTCTTCTACTTTCATTATCACATCCAACCATTCTCAGGTCCTGCAAATCACTATTGTTTCGTGTAGGAGGAGTACTAGGATCTGTTGGATTCTTATTCTGTCTTCTCTTCGGTTGAGCCTCTTCATTAGAGAACATATCTCTATCAGCGCTAGTGCTCTCTCTTTGAATTCTAAGTAAGAGTTTCTGAAATGTCTGCCAATTTCCAGCATCTCCTCCTTTGTCCACAACCGGATCTTTTTCAACTATATTTGCAGTTCTTATGGACTTTGAAGAGCTTTGATGCTTTCTTGATGGCGTATTAGATTGTAAATCCTGAATTTCTTCCTCATACCCGATATCTGAAGCTGATTGAGATTCACTTCTTGATTTACTTCCCTCTGATGTGTCAGATTGTATTTTTCTTGAATTGCGTACCTTTTTACGTGATTTTCGAGACTCCTTGTTATTTTGATATACGCCATTCTCTGATTCCTTTAAGCTTGTCTTGATTCTGAGTCCTGGATCATCTATAGGAGCATATGGAGATTGGAAACCCGAGCCATTAACTGGATAACTCTGGTAGTATGACATGCTTTGTACAGGATATGATTGAGAAACTGGTGGACCATGCGATGCCCATTGGGGAATCATGACATTTTGAACATGACCGTGATCATATTTAGGGACTGAACCTAGTCTTTCATCTGGAAATTCAAAAATTATTTCAACATAAACTCATCTTAACACAAGATGGTCTTGATGTAAACAATAAATGCGCATAATACATATGTTGTAGGAAACAAAACATCAATATGACGGGCATAAATGGAATATAGTCCCAAAAACTTCCGTTTCTTCTTCTGCTTCTTCTTCTTCTTCTTTTATTTTTAAAGTTACTAGGGGCATTCATCAATAGAGGCATTTAACTGAAGAAACATAGGTGGAACTAAAACCAAAGATTATAAATCTTATTTAATTCTTAGGATAATGAATCACATCTATCTCTGAGACACAAATGTAGAAAAAGAGTCAAATTGAAAAGAATTCGTAATTTTTTTCTGGGAAAAGGCAACACAACTTCAACAACATAGAAAATGCAAGACAATTTTCATGTGAAAAGAGAAACACATCCTTTTAAGCCTGATGATTATTTACCTCCAGCATTTGAAGCAGAAGTATAATTATCTATCTCACTATTTCCAGTGGCCAAATTATCACTGGACACAGGCCACACTTCTGAAAATTGTTTCTCTTTCATAGAAACAAATTCAGATTGGTAGGGTACAGCTTCTGCACCGACAACTTCAAGCCATTGCTCACTTTTATGTTTTGCCTTCCATAATTCCACAAATTTCAAGCAGGCCTCCCTGTTGAACAAAGGAAAATAATAAGTATGCTGATGCATATGCTTTGGTAATTTATCCAAAGACAGTACAGACTAAATGTATGTTAAGAACAATTAATGTGGCCATAATATCTCCTATTCCCACGCCTACAGTTTCAAATTTGTTAGGACACATGTCGGAAATTCTTATATATAAATCATGACTAAGTTTCATAGTTTATCAATAAGGTCTTTTATTCACAGAAAGCTCATTTTTCCTATGCGCCTCTAATATATACATACACATGAGTGTGTCTATATACATGCGTATGTGTATGTGTATGGGTTAGTGTGACTCAAACATGGACTTAAACCAAGAGTTTTCTCTATTGGATAGACTTGGCTGAGAGGATTCATTTTTATTAGAAATTAAGTTGGTCATCAATGCAATCCTATTGTGCATAGGACTTGTAGGTTGGTGATAAGGAAAGCCACAAGTGAACTCCTATTAGAACTCTAATTGCAGGCAGCAAGAATAGAAGTCATTATGTGCTTGAACTCTTATTGGGCTTTAGAACATGTAGACTTATATTCCCACAATCCCACTAGAACTCATATTCCATATGCAGCAAGGAATTGAAGATCTTCAAGCCTATATTTGTACAAACTTTTAAGCCAATTATCATCATTAATCTAGAGAGCACGAATTAAGAACAGAGAGTTCTCTTGTGAAGCCTATTTGATATTTTCCCTTTTTGTTTCTTTATTTGAGAGAGTTGTATTAGTCTTTTAGGGTGTGTTAGGGATTGATTGATTGAGAGATCTCCATATTGTATTCCTCACAAATTATTAGTAAAATTATTCTCCTCCTTGGCCCATGGATGTAGGTTACAAGCCCAACGACATATGTGTGTCTTATTTGTGTTCTCGATATTTTTTATTTTTCATGCTTTCGTGTGATTGATATTTAGCCTATTCCTAGGGATTTGTCATAACAAATTAGTATCAGAACCCTCAACTATCAATCGGACGAGAAGATAATGACAACTATTACGAAGTGGGATATTGAAAATTTTGACATCAACATCAGTTCTAGCCTTTAGCAAGTTTAAATGAACGTGGTGTTGATACAGAACGGATTGAAGAAGTCTTTGTTCAGAAAATTGAAGAAACTAGCTACCATGACTGGGAAAGATTAGAACGAGTTGGATGATAAAACTCTCATAGCGATCTAGTTATGTTTGACAAATGAAGTTTTGTAAGAAATTCTCACAGAGAAAATAGCTATTGATCTATGGTCTAGGTTGGAGGATTTATATTTGACGAAATTGCTCACTAATTGTCTCCTCTTAAAGCAACGTTTGTACGCACTTCGAATGTTGGAGAGTATATCCATCAAATCTTATATTGGTAAATTTAATTCTGTGATCACAGACTTAAGTAAGATTGATGTTAAGATCGATGATGAAGATTAAGCCCTATTATTATTGTGTTTTTTTGTCACATTCCTGCAAGCACTTCAAGAATACTATGACTTACAGCCGAGATTCTATTGACATCAAGGACGTCAAAGAGAACTTGTTGAATAAGGAAAAGATCAATAAGGAGTTAACCATAAGCAAAAGTGGTAATAAAGCTAATGGCTTATTTGTTCGAGAAAGATCGAAAGAAATGGGCTTTGGGGGTAATAGGTATAACTCGAAGCACATGAATCTGACCTACAGATATTGCAAAAAAAGAGGGCACATCAAGATCGATTGTTACAGGTTGAAGAACAAGAAGAAACAAGAAGAATATAAAGAGAAACCAAATGAGGACTCCAGTGAAGTCGATATTGCTGAAGATATGACTTTGTTGGTTACCGAAGAGAAAAATAAGAGCATGGATGATTAGATTTTGGATTCGGATTGTTCCTATCATATGTCATAACTAGGAGTGGTTTACCACTTATGAAGCTATTGATGATAAAATTATTCCCATGACGAATAACGTCTCATGCAAGACTATTGAGATAGGGAGAATTCGGATTAAGATACATGATGAAGTCACCAAGACTTTGACTGATATTAGGCATATTCCAAGTTTAAGGAAGAATCTCATCTTTTTGCGCACTCTTGATAGTTTTGGGTGTAACTTTTTAGGTGAAGTGAAGTTCTTAAGATTTCAAAAGGTTCTCTTATAGTTATGAAAGGAAAAAATATCGACAACTTATATGTTTTATAGGGTTCAATCTTTACCAGTTCGGCTACAGTTACATATTCGGATTAAGATGCATGATAAAGTCACCAAGACTTTGACTGATATTAGGCATATTCCAAGTTTAAGGAAGAATCTCATCTTTTTGGGCACTCTTGATAGTTTTGGGTGTAACTTTTTAGGTGAAGTGAAGTTCTTAAGATTTCAAAAGGTTCTCTTATAGTTATGAAAGGAAAAAATATCGACAACTTATATGTTTTATAGGGTTCAATCTTTACCAGTTCGGCTACAGTTACATCATCAATATCAGAAGCAGGTACTATCAGATTATATCATATGAGGCTTAGTCATATGAGTGAGCGTGGATTAGGCAAGTTGAGCAAGAAGAGTCTTTTATGTGGAAAGAGTACATAAAAATTAGGTTCTGCGAGCATTGCATCTTCAGGAAGCAGAAAAGAGTTAATTTCAGTATAAGAGTGCATCAGATTAAAAGTATTTTGGATTATATCCATTCAGATCTTTAGAGACATTCTTAAGTTGCCTCGAAGGGTGGTAGATCGAAATATTTATTGACCCTCATTGATGACTACTCCAGAAAGATTTGGATCTGCTTTTTGAGATATAAATATGAGATGCTTATGACTTTCAAGCAGTGAAAGTCTTTAATTGAGAAGCAAACTCGAAAGCTGATTAAGAGGCTTAAAACTGATAATGAACTTGAGTTTTGTATAGGAGAATTTAATTAATTCTGCAAGATGAGGGAATCATTAGACATTGCACAGTCTCTAGCACACCCGCAATAGAATGGAGTAGCAGAACATATGAACATAATGCTTTTGGAGAAAATTCATTGTATGTTGTTCAGTGTGGGTTATGTAAGGAATACTAGGCGAAAGCGGTAAATACGACTTGTTATTTAGTGAATCAATCGTCATCTATTGCTATTTTTGTAAAACTCCAGAGGAGATTTAACTAAGAAGTGAATCATAATAGATAATTGAACAAAGAAGGAAATATTTGGTGACTTGCTTAAGCAGTGAAAGGTGAGTCAAGATACATGTGTCATGAGATGGAGGGAAAAGGGGGGCTTACGATGATGTGTTGGGTAGATTGGTATGTCGGTGAAAAAAAATGACAATGATGAAGCGTACCCATTAATGGATTAAAAGCTTAGGGGTAAGTAATTATAAGATATGACTACATCTAGCTGATAGGTGAATTGCACGGAGACCTCACATGAAAATATACTTATAGGAAGAAAAAAAAGAAAACGAGTAAGGAAAGGAGCAACGAAGATCGGAAGGGAGGACAAGAGAGTTACAAATCAAAATTTATAGATTAAGGTAAGTAATTTAGCTCTTCTTATATTTTAGAATTGCTTATATTATACAGTAACTTCTTATTCATTGTATATGCATGTTAGAATTTGGAATTCAAGGCTTACAGATATATTTTACATGAAACCAATGTACTGTTTAGACTATTGAGATTCATGCCTATGCGTCTCTTAAACTATTTAGTGAGGGATACACATGTATTTTAGTCTTGAAACAAAATAGATGTACTATATTTCACTGCCTGATTGTAGAATGTAGCAAACATGCATTCCCATATGAAGAAGTTGACCTAGAGTGACATTAATAATAAACAATGAGCCCAAGTTAAATGTATGTATCTTATACAAAAAAAATAAAAAAAATAAAAAAATAAATTATGAACCTGAAGCCATCATGCATATAGTCATGGTTGCTTTGCTTAACTTTTAGTAATGGTGTTTTAATTATTCTCATAACAAGAAAATGAGTCATGGCGAAAAAGATATAGTTTCCAGCGTAAAAGAGTCATTGCTATCAAGATAGTATTAGTTGTGCTTTTACATGATAATCTTTGAAATAATCATAGTATATCAAATAAATTGCAAAATGGAAATACGTGTCAGAATGTGATTAAAAGTTTATCTTACAGATTTTGATAATATTATTCAAAGAAAATTTTAATTTTTAGAATAGGATATAAATTTCAGAAGGGGCTTGGTGGCTATTAGTTTATACAAAGGATTTTGTAAAGAGATCACTGTTGAATATATAATTGTAAAAGAAAGCCTCTAGCCATTGGAAAATTACTGTTATTGTACTGTTATTAGGTCCACCGGTGTGGTTATACTGATTGAAAAGCCTTGGCTAAGCAAAAGATACTGAACCCCTGAGTTGTTATTGAACCACTCGGAGACGTTCGAATGGTGTTTTTACTGACTCCTTGAAGACGTTCAAGGAGGTTTTTAGTGACTCCTTTGGAGATGTCCGTGGAGATTAATGAACTCATAGGAATTACTGAATCATTACTGTATTGTACTTTAATGTACCTATAGGGTAATACCATCAGGAATTACTGAACCCTTGGCTAGATGGTAGAACATAAGAATAACAATGAAAAAGGTTCATTGGGAAAGTTAACACCTCACATGAATCACTGTAAATCTAATATATTTTTCCTAACTGGACAAGTTAACTGTTGAATGTACATCTGTGAATAGTATATCATGGTATATGATGTTCTTTGTCTTCTAAAGATCTCATTTTCATTTCTTAAGCCATCTTTTACCGTGGATTTTTTCCTACCATAGTCATTTATATGTTACTGATATCTATGATATGAATTGGTATAAATCTAGAATTTAAGAAGTGGTTGGTTTACTTACTGAGTAGCCGTACTCATCTTATTCATTATTACCTTTTTTTAGAAGAAAGAGGAGAATAAATTGGGCACGTCTAAAGGTTAAGCTTTTGGGAGCAGAAATTTTGTTAGTCAACAAAATCGGATAAAAGCCTCCATTGTTGGCTGGAGTTAGTAGTGAGTGCTGGTAAGTAATGTGTACATATAAGTTTGTATGTGGATAGAAACTCTATGGTGTATTTTGGGTTGTAAGTATGTCCAATATGTACAAGTTGAACTGTGGTTGGAATGATGAAATAGTAGTAAACTCTATTGCTTGTTGAAGAAAAACCTTGAGCACTAAATTTTTGATGAAGATGTTATTGTTGCAAAGGTTGAATATGGGATCACTGCTCTGAAATTAAGTATTGGAAAATTTATGACTGATTGCACTGAGTCATGTAACCTCGAGGTCTAAACAACAATTAGACCTCAAGGGCATGACATGACATAAATAGCAGTCAAAAAACGAATTTTGCCAGCAATCACAGCTATTCACCGCTATGGCGTGCTTTTGGCCGCTTCAGCGAGCGGAGAGTGCATATTATGCAATATGTCACTACTATTGGGTGATAGCGTAGCGGGAAAGGATCGCTAACACTATTAGCACTGCTATTATCGTACTATTTATCGCTATTTATAACAATGTGAATTATCATCATCAATCTACAGAGTACTAATCAAGAACAAAGAGTTCTCTTGTGAAACCTATTTCATATTTTCTCTCTTTTTGTTCCATTGCTTTGGAGAGTTGTATTAGCCTTTCAGGGTGTGTTAGGAATTGAGCGGTTGAGAGATCTCCACATTGTATTCCTCACAAATTGTTGAAAACTATTCTCCTCCTTCACCCGTAGATATAGACTATGAGTCGAACCATGCATATCCGTGTGTAATTTGTGCTCTCGATATGTTTCGTGCTTTCATGTGTTTGATATTAGCCTAGTCCTGGGGATTCTCATAACAGTATGTGCATGTATACGTATATTATATGTATGTATGAAGAAAAGGTTAAAGTGGCAGCTCATTTAACAAAATAAGCTATGAAGAGATAGACTAGTGGTGAGGTCTATTGACAAAAGACTATGTTACTTAGGTACTTCTATTAGGAAACCCATACCCATACCTAACACGTAACCAAACCTCTTGGACACTTCTTGAATATATACAAATATTTATTCGGGCCTATGCTCAATTATATAATACATGTTTTATATTTAAAACACTCCTCATATACTTATTTGATGTATATTCCACACTTCACTATTTCTAATATATTGGTCTTATGTAAATGAGAAAACAATATTGATTTTATATAAATTATTAATTTTAATACATATGAGTATACAACATGCATATATATAGCAGTGTCCCCGTGCCTTACCTTTTACAAATTTACTGTGTAGCCGTACCCATACCCATGCAACCTGGATGACAGCTCATACCCAATATCCCCATATACACACACACACACATACACACAAACTTGTAATTCTAACTCATACCCAATATCCCCATATACACACACACACATACACACAAACTTGTAATTCTAAAAAGTCTTCTATGCTTTCCCAAAATTTAACTTTTATGTTGCTGAATTAAACTTGAATATTAATTACATGGTAGTCCATAACAAATTAGATATAAATTCTTCAAATCTCCATAAGCTAGGACAAATTTTCAAAACCGTCCCCTTTAGGATTTTATTTGCAAAAAACGATCGGTTTTGAAAAAAATTGTAAAAACCGACCTGTTTTCAGCCTAGCGCTGAAAACAGGTCGGTTTCTATAAATTTTTTTACAAAACTTCACGGGAGTTCAACTCCCGTGAAGTTTAGTGTATTTTTAAACATCACGGGAGTTGAACTCCCATGAACTTTAATTTGTTCATAAATCTTCAGTAGATGCATATATATAGCAGTGTCCCCGTGAAGTTTCGTAGATGCGATCAACCGGGCCACAACAAAAATAATTGTCCAGTTAGGATTAGGCGTTGATGTTGTAATTTGTAGCGGTTTCGATCTGTGTTTTCTTCCGTATGTCATTTGTGATTGTAATTTGTAGCGGTTTCGTTCTGTGTTTGTTTCCGTATGTCATTTGTGATTGTAATTTGTAATGGTTTCGTGAGTTGTTTGTTTCCGTATGTCATTTGTGATTGTAATTTGTATCGTTTCGTACTATGTTATATAAATTTAATGTTTGGTTTCAAGTTACTCGATCCTTTCACGTTGCGCATTCGTTTGTTGTTTATATATAACTAGATGAGTATTTTAACAGAAAGATCTAACACATTGTACATTGTCTTCTAATATTATTCTCAGTTATATTCATTATGGATCCGGGACCGATATGCCCCGGCGTTTTGACCCTCCAGGCGAGCCACGTTTCAGACCATATTGGCTCTGGACAGGTAAAACATCTTTTGTATATGCATTGGCACTAATTTTAATTTTTCGCATTATACTTAATCAATTCTTTTTGACGTGCAGCCTGTACCAGACATCACCATGATCGAGCATTCCCAGAGCCATTCAGCTTGGGTCATTGAGGATGCGAGAGTTCTAGCGCTGATCTCTCAGGACGATTTTCGGGAGTGTTCGACGGTTCGATATATCAGGCTTGATTGGCCACTTATCACTGTACTGATTGAGAGGTGAAGGCCAGAGACCAATACCTTTCACATGCATATAGGGGAGTGCACCATCACTTTACAGGACGTGACCGTCATACTTGGGCTCCAGATCGATGGGCCGGCAGTTACGGGCACCGATGATCATAGTTGGCCGGAGGTATGTGCACGGCTTCTTGGACAGGTTCCTGACTTGAGGAGTGGTGCGATGAAGCTATCGTGGCTTCGTCAGACATTTCAGGGTGATATACCAGAGGATGCCAGTATGGAGACGCTTCAGTTCCATGCTCGTGCTTACATATTGCACATGACAGTTTACGCTCTCTCAGCATGTGCCAGACCCTGTCGAGCAGATCAATCGTCGGCGACGACCTACTTCGTACCATACCGACTGGGCCGTAGTCCGTGCGGCCTATATAGACAGGTGGGCTCACAGGTGGGATTTCATCCAGGATACGAGGCCCATAGCTGTTGACTATACCGCGTATATGGGTTGGTATTGGGGTATCACACGTAGATGGATCACACGTGACCCACAGCCCTTAGCTGGACACATGCCACGGCCACCGACAGACAGTTACATCCCTAGTGGGATGAACGAGAGAGATTACGTAAGTTTCTAAGCTAAATTATAATATTTTTTCTTGAGTTGGTACTTAATAAATTATTTACCTCACAGGTCCGTGCTTTTGATAGCATTAAGGCTGATATTGATGCGACCGTGCCTGAGATTCAGGATCAGGTGGTGTCAGGGCTCCTCAACAGGATCAAGAAGACCATAGCACAGGTGTTTCATAAGACTCACGTCGACGAGTTCGCAGACCGTGAGGACAGGTCTCGATCATTTGGGCAGGCGTACACTCGGCATCGACGGCCACGTGACGATGACGGCGGCACTTCGCATGCTGATGGAGCCGGCACTTCGCATGATGATGGAGCCGGCATTTCGCATACCGATGGAGCCGGCACTTCGCATGTTAATGGAACCGGCACTTCTCAACCTCATACACAGCCGGATACTCAGATAGTCGAGGCTCATCAGCGCGGGGGGCGGGGAAGAGCGAGGGGGAGGGGGAAGAGAGGGAGAGGAGCTATATTGGGTTGTATTTGAACTTATTTTGTTAAAATTTATAACTTGTATGAATTTTTAAATACTATACTTTTATGGATCAATTATAGCTCGATATGTGATCTTTTTTAGTATTGTTTGATTCGTGCGTGTTTAATTCATATATATATTGTAGTAATTATTGTCAACAGGTAAATAGTTGTATATATGAGTTAAATAGGTAACCGTATACAAAACATGCACAGCAGCCTGTGCATGATTTGTAAAACCTGCAACTTCACGGGAGTTCAACTCCCATGAAGTTGCAGTCTAAATTTCCCAGAGAACGATTCTCTGGGAAATTTAGCCTGTAACTCCACGGGAGTTCAACTCCCATGGAGTTTTAAACGCTGCAACAAACTCCACGGGAGTTTATTCAGCAAAATAATCTTCACGGGAGTTCAACTCCCGTGAAGTTTAAAAGCATACTAAACTTCACGGGAGTTGAACTCCCATGAAGTTTCGTAAAATTTTTTTGAAAAACCGACCTGGTTTCAGCGACAGCGCTGAAACCAGGTCGGTTTCTCTAAAAAATGAAAAGAGGTCGTTTTCTGCAATAAAATAGTAAAAGGGGTTGGTTTTGAAAATTTGTCCCCATAAGCTATTGAGGAAGAAGTGAGCTTACAGCAAACGGGAAGCCCCAAAACTCTTTGCAAATAATATTAAATTCGCCATATGATCCACATCAAAACCGGCAGCCACAGCCCGTGCAAAGGCCATTCCCTGTTCTTTCCTTAACACAGTTTTGCGGCTATCAAGAACTTTCAGAAGCTGACGCCTGTAAGAAAAAAGGACAATTATCATAAAAACAATGCAATTTCACTGCCCAAAACTCCTTATGCAAACACTTATTTCAGGGAGAATAGGGTATCATTTATTTAATCCCAACATATCAAGTTTTTAAGGCAAACCTTGAATTTTCCTCTTGAGTGATGGACCCCGTTGATAGACGTCGATGTTTCCCATTCTATCATTAGAAACAGGAAAGTATATGAAAAGGGAGAAGACCCACCAAGAATAAACCATGAAAGAAAGAAGGTTAAGTTAAAAATTATCTCACTACAAGACCTTAGACAGTACCACAGCCTTTTCGGTACTCGCACTAAGTGAATATCTGCTGACTGTAGTAAAGAAGATAGAAGGCCAGTATGTTAAATCCTATATTTAATGAATACACAACAAAAGTCATTATGTTAAGTGAAAAACTAATAATATTGAGGCAACAGGAATAGTATTGAGCAACAAGGTACTACTGTCAGCATCAGTTTGCATAATTTCCCAACTTTGGATTTTTCAGTTTTATGAATTAAGCATTAAATTCTTCCTACACCAGGCTCTGAACCTGAAAATAAGCAGGCAATGGTTAACTTTAAAATAGAATTGGGCTAGACTAATTTTATATTAACTAGGCCAAAGTTGAACCATATAAGGGTTGGTTTACAAAAGAACTAGTTTAGGGGATAAATTTTGAACTAGAAAGAACTAGTTCAAATTGGGACCAACTTTTGCCAAACTTAAAACAAGGTATTAGACCAAATTGTAACACCTAAAACAAGTTTTGTGAAGTTGCCAAACACACTAAGTCTTTCTCTGGTAAAAATTGGTTCAACTACAGAGGGAAAACTCAAAGCTGAGATAGAGCCACAAAAGAATTGATCACGTTGTTAATATCAGTAACAAATCTTGAGCTGGTGTCACAAGCTTATGATCAAGAAAGGGCTTTGCTACCAAAATTACAGCTGGTTGCTATTTAGGACCTAACTTTTTCAGAATGTAAGCTCATGCAAATAAAGAGCACCCCTAAAATTTTCCTAGACTTGGAAAGCATGTAGATGGAAAAATGAAGAGGATAAAAATGAAGAGGAACCACATTCAACTCTAAAACATATGTCAAAGAGACAAAGTATTGATTTTCATTAATTTTTCTTAGCCTATATTATCACCATAGCTGACCGAGAAATGTAAAAGTTGAAAAGAATAAATTTGCAAGAATCTTCTCATGTTATTGTTAGAGTTAGGTTGTAACTGAATCTAACAAGTTAGATAGTTAGATATACCTTTCATAGATCCTGTCCATCTACTTTGATGATCTTCTCCCTGCCATGCACCGCGTGTTAAAATAAAATTCTTCTATAATTGCATGAATCAGTAAGTAATGAACAGGAATATTATATTACTCACCATGCTCAAGGAATGTCTGCCATTTCCTTGAATAGCAATGGCTTCATTGATCTGTAATATCATCCGATTCCAAAGTATTCACTCTTTCAAACCTCGAGGTGTCGCTCACATATCGAACAAACCTAATAGACAGAAAATCTCACTGCCAATTATTTCAATGCAGCAAAGGAGTTTTTTACAAAGATGCATCATCAAAATCTTGATATATACCTTTCTACAGTGTCCTTAGTAAACCAAGTTGTATCAGTTCTTGGCTTTGGTTTGAGTATAATAGAATATCCTCCCTTTGCAGTCTGATCTTTAGCAGTCTTTAAATGGGCGAGAAATGGATCTAATAACCCAGATGCAATCTTCTCTGACTTTCCATTTGCCATGATGACCAAATCATATCTAACAACAATGAGATTTAAAGCTCTCAGTTCAACTCCGACAAAAGGAGTATGTTGCATCATTTGAGCACACCTTAAATTATGCAAGTAAACTAGTGTTTCTTATACAGGTCGAAGAGACCCTTAAGTTTCAAATGAAAAAACAGCCCGAGTTGATAGAAATTGCCTGTTCACCTTCCATTGCAAAGGAGAGAAGAAAATAGAAAGCAACAAGTAATAGACAAAATCTATCATTTTCTTCATAAAGGGGAAAATACACTGGAAGCTTCCAAATTTGTCAGTCCATATTATGATTTTATCTCTTAAAATCAACTATGTAACCAACAAAAAGGCCTTTTCAGCTCATCACCTAAACAGACAAAAGGTGCCTTTTTGATCCAAATGCTAAAATTGACTCCTTTTTAGAGATTCCTTGCTAGAAATCGCAATCTCATAAACCCGTAATAATGTAGGTTGTTTTATAGTAAAGGTTCTAAATGGGTGAGAGAAAAACAAAAAATCTGAAAACCTCCAAAGTTTCTGGTTAAAGGTCATGACTTTATCTTCTAAAACCAACTATATAACCATCAAAAAGGGCTTCTTTCGGCTGATCGCTAAAGAAGCAGTAAGAAACAGGCAAATGCTAAGAATTGAACCCAAAACCGGCTCTTTTTTCAGGGAGTTCTTCACTAAATTCACAATCTCAAAAACCCTAAACAATGTAGGTCACTTTAACGTAAAGAGTCTAAATGGGTGGGAATTCCTGACCTCGTTCGAGTGGGAGTGAGCTGAAATACAACTGAATCGAGCAAGGCCTCAGCCTCCATAACTGAAAAAGATCAGATCTTGGGACCAAAGGCCTGAGCTTTTCTCCAATTTCCAAGGGTGGGTTGTTGAGGGAAGAGAGAGAGGAGATGGGAGAAGAGAGCTTTCAGTAGTCAGCAGAATGCTTCACTGTGAGGTGAAGCATCTTGGTATTGATTAATTACGCAAAGATTTTGCAAGGGATTTTGTTTTTTTTAAAGGTATCACGTGTATACAGTCCATGTGAAGCGCTGACAATCTGTTTGTTAATGCTTGTGTCAATTGTACTATTATTATTGGCATATTAGATGAAACTTCTCTTAATTATGAGTATATTACCTCCAAGTATTTATATTTCTAATTTTACACTTCAAGTATATAAAATTGTTTTAAATAATATACTCGATTAAATTAACAATCCGTAATAATTTTGACTATTTTTAAAACAACTCCATAGGAATGAGGTGTAAATTAGAAATATGAAGATTTCGGGACCTAATATAAACTTAAAAAAGAATTTGGGGTCAAATACGAAAACTTAACTGATTTGAAGAACATATAAGTAAAAAATATGAAGACTCAGGAACAAATATAGAACTAAGAAAATTTAATGACTTATAGTTATATGACAAAACCCATTTGTACTTTTAATTATCTGGATATACTCTATTTCCCCCATTTTGAGCAAAATTAAAACCAAATTCTTCTTTAATATTGATTTGTTGGCGCAACCAATAAAGGTAGCTACAGTGGTTCATTAAATCCTCTTTAAGGGAACAGGGTGTAGTGATGCAACTCCTTGGTTGCTTGATGGGCTTTTGAGGTTCAAGATCTGCTTTGAAGTAGGTTGCTTCTCATAGGGTTTTATCTAATCACCTGATGTGATTTGGAAATAGAGATGAGAGAGAAGAGAGAGAAAACAATCACACAAAACACACAAGATTTACGTGGTTCACTTCTCGATGTGAGAAGCTACGTCCATGACCGCCGCAAGAGGAAATTTTACTATTTTCGTCAATCTTACAAGTTATCCTAATCTTCCCTTTAATAACACAAGGGTTAATACAAACAGGATTCTAAAACAGTTCATCAAAAAACGAGCCCAGGCCCAAAAAACCCGATTCGCGATCGACCGCAAATACAGTCGCGGTCGACCGCAAAAAATCCCGAAACCAAATCTGATTACAGGGTTTGGCACAGTCGACCGCACATGATGTCGCGGTCGACCGCAAAAAGTCCAAAGACTTTTCGTGGATCTGTGCACGTTTCCGGTCGACCGTGAAGCCTCCAAGCTGATTCCTTTGACGTTTTGCATGAATTTCATCGCCGTCGTTCCTGTTTCTCCAATTTCTCATGTTTCCTCTTCAAATAAGGTATAGGACAAGTCGGATAGTTAGGCTCCACATATCCTAACAATCTCCCACTTGGAGATTAACTTTCAATCTCTATCACCTCTCCCTGCGGCGACGGCCTCCCATATCATCAAGTAAAGAGGCCAAGTGAAGTTGAAAACACAACTTCAGTTTCTCTATAGTGACAGTCTTCGTAAGCATATTAGTCGGGTTCTTGCTTCCTTGAATCTCCACAATTTCCAACATGTCATCATCCAATGCTGACCTTATGAAGTGATAACGGACATGTATGTGTTTGGTCCTGGCATGAAAAGCTTGGTTCTTTACCAAATGAATGGCGCTCTGGCTATCACAGTGTAAAACACTCTTCTCACTTTTCTGTCCCAACTCCTCCAAGAACCCCTGCAACCATATGAGCTCTTTGCTAGCCTCTATCACAGCAACATATTCTGTCTCTATAATCGACAAAGCAACGATCTTCTTCAACTGAGAAACCCAACTGATGGCTGTAGAACCCAAAGTGAACACATATCCCGTAGTACTCCTCCTCTGATCTATCTCACCAGCATAGTCTGCATCAACAAAACCCTGCAGAACCAATTTATCTCTCTTGAAGCATAAACAATTTTCTATTGTACCTTGTAGGTACCTTAGAATCCACTTTACTGCTTTCTAGTACTGCTCTCCTGGATCTGACATGAATCTGCTCACAGTTCTTACTGCATGGGAAATGTCAGGTCTCGTGCACACCATGGCGTACGTAAGGCTTCTAATGGCTGACAAATATGAAACCTTCACCATGTAATTTTTCTCCTCATCAGTCACTGGACACTGCTCCTTAGTCAACCTAAAATGACTAGCTAAAGGTGTGCTAACGACCTTAGCACCGCTCATTCCAAACCTCTCAAGCACCCGCCTAATGTAATGGGTCTGAGATAACTGTAATGTGCCCAAGAGCTTGTCTATGCTAATCTTCATCCCCAATATCTGCTTTGTTGTACCTAAGTCCTTCATGTCAAACTCACTCGACAACTACTTCTTCAGCTTCTTGATCTCACCCAAGTTTGAACCGGCCACTAGCATGTCGTCGACATATAGTATCAAGATAATATAGTTGGTGTCAAGCTTCTTGAAGAAATAACAATGATCTGCATTGCACCTGGAGTATCTGTTCCTATGCATGAATCCATCAAACTTTTTGTATCATTGTCTTGGAGCTTGTTTCAGACCATATAAGTTCTTTTTTAATCTGTAGACCATCCTTTCTTTTCCTTTCTGAGTAAACCCTTTTGGCTGCTGCATGTATATTTCTCCCTCTAGGTCATTATGGAGGAAGGCTGTCTTCACATCTAACTGCTCGAGATGTAGATCTTCAGTTGTAACAATACTCAGAATCGATCTGATGGTAGTCAGTTTGACTACAGGAGAGAAGATTTCTGTGTAGTCAACTCATTCTTTCTGCTGAAATCCTTTGACCACCAACCTTGCCTTGTATCTCTTAGAACCATCATGTTCCTCCTTGATTCTGTACACCCATTTGTTACTTAAAGCTTTCTTTCCCACTGGCAACTTTGCAAGTTCTCAAATCTTGTTAGAGTTTGGGGACTTTATTTCATCTTTCATAGCAAGCTCCTACTTGCTTGCATCATCCACTTGACACGCTTCATCATAGCTTTCTGGCTCTCCATCGTCACTCAATAATAAGTAGTTCAAATGAGCTCTAGGCTGTAGTGATGGATACTTCAGATTTGGCTTTGGAACTCTTGCTGACCGCCTCAACTCTCTAACGAGTGAACCAACCTCTGCATCTACCTCCTCTGAAGTAGTTTCCTCCATCATCTCTTCTTCAGCCTCTTCTCCTGCGTCCTCATCAGAACTAGCGTCAAAGTTGCTTCCTTCTGGAACATCATCTGGCTCAAAGTATGTAGGCTCTGACTGTACTGAGCTTGTGGACTTAACAACATCACAATCTTTGTATAGGACTGCTTCATTGAATACAACGTCTCTGCTTTTGATGACTTTCTTGTTCTATTCATCCCAGAACTTATAGCCAAACTCATCACCACCATAGCCAATAAAATAGCATTTCAAAGACTCAGTGTTAAGTTTGTTTCTAACATGATCACTCAAATGAGCATATGAAACACAACCAAAAACTTTTAGGTGAGAAAGGTTTACCTTCTTCCCACTCTATACTTCTTTAGGTATTTTGTGCTCCAAAGGCACTGATGATCCCCGGTTGATCAGATAGGTAACTGTGTTGACAGCTTCTTCCCATAATTACTTTGGGAGTCCTGCTTGAAGTCGTATGCTTCTAGCTCTTTCAGTCAATGTTCTGTTCATTCGTTCTGCTATGTCATTCTGCTGAGGTGTACCTGGCACTGTTCTCTCCAATCTGATGCCACTCTCATAGCAAAATTTCTTGAACTTTGAATCTTCATATTCGCCTCCATTATCTGATCGTAATTTCTTGATCTTTAACCATGTTTCGTTTTCTACCATAACCTTCCATCTCTTAAAGACTTCAAACACTTCTGATTTGTGTTTTATGAAATAGACTCAAGTCTTCCTCGAGTGATCATCTATGAAAGTCACAAAGTATAACCTTCCACCAGTGGACTGTACTGATACTGGACCCCACACATCTGTGTGAACTAGCTCAAACTTCTCTTCCTTTGGTGTTCTGCTAACTCTTTTAAAACTTATTTTATTTTGTTTCCTGAAGATGCAACTTTTACATAAGTCAAAATCAGCTGACCTCAAACCTGGTAACTTTCCAATCAACTGCATAACCTTCAGGCCTTTACTACTCATGTGACCAAGCCTCCGGTGCCACAAATTTGGATCTTCTTTACTTTCAACCACTATAATGGATCCACATGTATTTGTCATCATGTAAAGAGATCCACTCTTCGTACCACGAGCAACAATCATAGACCCATTGGTAACCTTCCACGTATCACATGCAAAGGTTGATGTATCCCTCTTTTGCTAACTGTCCTATGGAGATCAGATTCTTCCTTAAGCTAGGAACATGCCTCACATCATTCAGCTTCCATATAGACCCATTGAGTTTAATTTGCACCGCTCCTTTTCCAGCTATATCACACAGTTGATCATCGCTAAGATAGACTTTTCTTAAGTTTCCTAAAACATAGTTCTCAAATAAATCCATATTTGAGGTAGCATGAAATGAAGCTCCTGAATCTAGTACCCATGATTCTGTCTTGCTCTCCAATGAGCAAATAAGGGCATCATCTGATTCTCCTGAGACGATGTTCGTTTCAGTCTTGCTCTCCTTGTCTTTCTTGGGTTCCCTACTTTAGCAGTCAATCTCTTTCTTGATTTTGCGATTTCTAAATCTTGACCTGACGTTCCTCGAATTAGGTCCACCACGACTATTCCCTCTATTTCTGTTTCTATTTCTGCCTCTGCTCTCAAAATTCAATGCTAACCCTGAATTAGAAACTCCTTCTTCTTGTCTTCTTATCTCCTCAGTCATAATCATGTCTACAACTTTTGAAAACTTTAGTTTTGATTTTCCACATGATCCGCTAATCGAAATAACGGTGCCCTTCCAACTATCAGGTAACTGACCAAGTATTAACAGAGCTTGAATTTTATCATCAAATTTAATATTGATGGAGTTTAGTTGATCCGTAATCTCATTAAACTCATTCATGTGTTCCTTGAATTTTTGGCTCTCGGACATCCTCAAATTAAACAGCTTCTTTATGAGATGTACATTATTCGTCGCAGAGGGTTGTTCATACATACTAGATAGCGCAGCTATGAGATCCGCCGTCGAATTCTAATTCTTGATGTTGAAAGCTACAGATTTGGACAGGGTCAACCTGATTGCTCCAAGGGCCTTACGATCTAATAGCTTCCGCTCTTCATCCTTTATATTCGTCAGCTTCTCTCCCAATGGCAGATATAGATCCTTCTGATAGAGGTAGTCTTCCATCTACATCTTCCAGAACCCGAAGTTTGTCCCATCAAACTTCTCGATCTTGGACGTCTCCTTCTCAGATCCCATGTCTCTGACCTCAAATCGTCTGCACCGAACCTGGTCACTCTGATACCAATTGATAGGGTTTTATCTAACCCCCTGATACGATTTGAAAATAGAGATGAGAGAGAAGAGAGAGAAAACAATCACACAAAACACAGAAGATTTACGTGGTTCACTTCTCGATGTGAGAAGCTACGTCCATGGCCGTCGTAGGAAAAAATTTCACTATTTTTATCAATCTTACAAGTTGTCCTAATCTCCCTTTTAATAACACAAGGGTTAATACAAACAGGATTCTAAAACAGTTCAGCAAAAACGAGCTCATGCCCAAAAAACCCGACTCACGGTCGATCATAAAAAATCCTAAGACCAAATTTGATTACAGGGTTTGGCGCGGTCAACCGCACATGATGTCGTGGTCGACCGCAAAAAGTCCATAAACTTTTCGTGGATCTATGCACGTTCGCGGTCGACCGTTGCGCTACTCGCGGTCGACCGTGAAGCGTCCAAGCTGATTCCTTCGACGTTTTGCCTGAACTTCATCGCCATCGTTCCTGTTTCTCTAATTTCTCATGTTTCCTCTTCAAATAAGGTATAGAGTAAGTCGGATAGTTAGGCTCCACATATCCTAACAGCTTCTGAACTAGGCTGCAGATTGTACACTGAGGACCTTCTTTCATTTATTATACTAGTGTGCACCCCGAGCAAAGCACGACCCCCTATTTTTTAAGTATTGCATTTTAAACTCACTTTCCTCTAAGTTTTAATAGATTATTGTATGTTTAAAATTAGGAATTGTATCTACTCCTCTCTACTTAAAGGATGATCCAAATTTTAATACATTTGATTTATGAATCATATCTACTCCTTCATATTTAGAGGACAATCTAAGTTTTTAATACATTTGATTTGATTTATTGTTTATGATACAGTAAAATACTGTAACATAGATAGTAACTTCAAAAAATATAGTGGGAGATTTGATTTAATGTTCACGGTACAGTAATTTGCTACAACAGATGAGTGGGGGCGATTTATTGTTCACAACACAGTAGGTATTGTAGCGTTTTTACCGTAGCATGGACAATAACTTAGAGTGCGGAGGGCCAGATCTGGTTTACTGCTTATACTAAGTAATTCACTGTAGCATTTACTGTAGTATAGACAGTGATTCTTAGTATCCTCCTATAAGTATTGAAGAGTAGATGCGTTTTTCCCCTTGAGAAAATGAAAATAGCATAGTTCAAAGTTTCATTGATGAAATCATATTTAAAGATGTTTTAAAAAAAATAGTATATGACAATATGAATCCTAGCAGATGAAAAGTTTAGGTATACCCTTTAGGATGCTATATTGAGTTTCTTTTTTAATTTGGTTGCTTGATCTATGGAAAAATATATTAAGAAATTCCGTCAGTGCATGTATGCTGATCTAAATGCATATACCCTTATAATGTCTGTATTGTGGAGCAGGATAAGGTTTGGCATGAACAAATTTTTAATGAGTCTAGAAGAAAGAAAAGCAAGCAATCACATGAAACTTTGCTTGACCTCAAAGATATGAAGAATATTGTCATGTATGTGTGTATGCACTGATCTCATTCTTGTTAGTAGTGATAAAGGGTATGTATCCAAAATCCCATGCACGTGATGATCTTATTCGATCTCATTTGTATATAGAATCAGGAGCTCACCATGTAGAGAATATTACATGACATTCAGTTTTTTTTATTCATTTAATCTGTCATGACTACTTAGTTTTATTAAGAGCTCAAACAGAAGAACACGCTTTCCAATAATAATGACACAATGAGATCAATTACAATATATATGAGTTAACTGCACAGAGACAGAACCCCTTGTAATATATACTTATCCAAGATTCATTTCTTTGAACTGCACTAGTTAGAATCTTTTAGAAAACAATGAAAACCTCAATAAACGTACACTAAGACAAATTAAACCAACTCAATTATATTTCCAAATAACAAAAAACATTACGTGGCCAAACTATTCCTCTATATATAGCTCACATTATGTTCTCTCAAAATTTCTTTCACTACCTTATGCATTATTACCACAATATGCAAAGGCAAAAAAATGGAATCAAATCAGCGACCAAGAGACAATTGCCTATCGACCTTCTTCTTCACAACCCTTCCTATATCAGAAAGACTGCGCAAAGCATACCCCCTATTCTGCGCAAATCGCGTATAAAGTCCTCTCGTCGACCAAATTGGTGATTTCCCTTTAACATCCTCATTCTTAGTTTCAACCAGAGGCCCGTTCTCTTCAATAGGATTATCCCAAAGATGCAATCCTTCAATTTCTTTACCAAGCGATTTCGGTGATTTAATTAGTTCTTCGCGCTTACTCCATGAGGGACTGTCACAGGTACTGTAAGAGCCAAAGGATGAAGCTCTTGAAGTTCTTGAGGACGAAGATGAAGGTGAAGGTGATGATGCGGTAGGAGAGATGATTAAGTTGCCAAAGCCTTGGATTTCTTTGGAGATTGTGAGTGCTTTCGATCTTTCTTCTGCAAGGTAATCTTCGTCCATTAGTAGTTTTAGTATTTTCTGTGATTTTTTCTTCATACATGCGCCCCAATTGAACCTGACAGATACAAATCATGTCAATGAAGGAGAAAAGAACTGAAAGTTGAAGGAAAAAATGTACGTAGACCCCTCGTAGTAGTACCGATGTTTTGAACTTACTACCCTATAGTTTCATGTTGCAACTAGACCCTTGGGTTAAAGTTTTCTGACACTTCTACCCTCAAATGGGCTCACTAATTTCACCTATGGGCAATATCTGCCAAAATTTCACCCAGCTTAATAGAGTCAATAAACATTTTGATCTAGGGGTCTATCTGCAACAATGAAACTACAGCGATAGTAAATTCAAGATAGAGAAACTACAGGGGTTATATATATACATATACACACACATACAATTAAGGCAAATTTATGGATTACCCTCTTTCATCGACATAATTCATCTTTCCTAGCTCTCCGATGACTCTGGAATCGCAATGGAATTCTTCAAAGATATCTTCAGGACCATGTGTAAGCAAAAACTCAAGAAGAACCAGGGTTTTATAGGATTGCCTCCATTCTTTATAATTGACATATCTTAACCTTTGAAATGAAGAAGAAGGGTAAAAAAATGATATAAACATATATAATCAAATTAATGATAAAGAATAATATTGATAAGAAAGTATTTGTTTACCTCCTGTGTATGACATCAATAATTCTCCAATATTCATCGTTGTCATAAGCTGCCTCTGATATTCTTGTCATGGTTTTTGCATCTGGACCCCATGAATCGCCGCTCGTAGCTTCTTCAGCCAGTCTACAAGAATTCAAACTATTAATATTTCAAAATTTTAAAAAAAAAAATCTTAAGAAGAATGCAATTGACTAATAATCTTTAGAAGAATATAAATGATAAGAAAATAAAAAAAATAAAAAATTTACTACATTTCGGCTTCTGTTACATCAGTGAGGGCCAATTTGGCTGTGTTGTACTTCTCTTGGATAAAAGAAGATGCTTGTTTCTTAAAGTCAATCATTGTTTTCTTCAATGGAGACTCCGGCAACATCATTTTTCCCTCCTAAAGAAAACATTACAAAAAATTATTAGCCGACTCATTAACAAAAAATCAATTCAAAAACTAGAGCTAGAGCTTACATCAACCAACAGATTGCACTTTATAAAGTTATAAGCAAAGTTTGAGCTCTGAGTTTGAAGATAAAAAAAAATAAAAGAAGAGAGTTGTTGTGCATTCAAAGCCTTTAGGCTTTTGAATGGACAAGCTCCAAGAAATTAGCAAATGTTTCTGTTTACCGTTAATTGATTCTGACCATTTCTCCTTTCAAATGGTCTTCCTCTGTTTGTGGCGTGCTTTTAGTTGTGTCAATGACCGGAGTTTTGAGGATTCATGTAATCGAACTCAAATATTTTAATGGGAAAAAAACATATTTGTAGGATCTTGGACAAGTGAGGATTTTTAGTCGGATTTCTTGGTTTCAAATAAATTATAATAACTTTTCATAACTTCTTCGTATGTTTTCTAGTCATTGTGAATCAAACTACTTTTCCCCTTTAAAACTGTCGCACTGTATGATTTTAAATATTACTTTTTTGACTAATATAACTCAACTATGAACAAAAGTAACAACCTTTTGTATCGTTAGTCAAGACACCAGTAATTTAGACACACTCATGGATATTTTGAGATTTAATGATGAATAGATTATAGGAGGAGGAAAAAAAAAGTTCTTCGCTTTAGAAAAATGGACCAGGATTAGAAAAAAGAACAAGAAATGGGCATATATATTTTGAGCTTATGCTCATTTTAGCAATTAGACCCCTTTGAAGTAACTCAAGTCTTCGTTATTCGTTGCAGTAAGAACCTAACCAGTTGCCAAAAGTGGAGTGGTGAGCTTCATCAATGTGTATTCAAGGAAAATGAAAATTTTAGGAGGTCCTCTTATAAAAGAAAATAGAATCGGTATTCTCATAAGAGAACATTTCCGATCCTTCCAAAGATTAAATCAAGCTTCCAAGTCAAAAAGATTAGAGGAGTGCTAGCGACACTCGCGCGAGGCGAGCGCTGCTGTCACTTGCCCAAAAACAGAGTCGGGTTGGGTTTAATTTTGGTCAAGGGTTAGGTTAAGTAAACCCAACCCCACCCCTCTATTTTAGAAGTAACAGCGACACTCACCATGAGGGTCGCTAGCACTCCTCTAATCTAAAAGACCTGTGACTTCGAGTTTCAACAGTTTAAAACCCTCTCAGAACCCAAATTCAGAAAATGATGCCGGTAAAGGATAGTTCGTTTACCTTTCCTTATTATATAAATCCAATAAAGAGAATAAAAATGCCAAAGGAAAACCGCCAGATAAGCAGAATACATCAACACCAGCCCATACTGAAATAATTTTTACAGGGGAATAGAAAAGAGAACAAAAAAAAAGCCAACCAACCATTAATTCTAATTCTATGGCAACTATAAAACCAATGTCTATAATTATCCAGTTTTTCATGATGGATCAGAAAAGGCCTTCAAGCTTGCCCCGCTCTCTCCCTTGCTTGGCCTTAGAAAGATGGTCCACCCAAGAGCCTTACAGAGCCTGTAACCTTTATGTACTTTTTTGCCTCAGCAACAAAATATCTGTCCATCAGAGATCAGTTGTAAAGTATTGAGTATTAACCGGTGTTGGTCATGCTGGGGATTTTGACAAGGCCGTGCCTCTGCCGCCAATGCATCGCCCTCCATGCAATTTATGGTACTGTTTCCGGGGAGCTTTGAGCATAAGCAGTGACAAGACTAACTACCTGCAACTTCAAACAACGCATATGACGTTAGTGAAAGGTAACCTGAAAAGACTTGAGAGTCGGTAACCTGAAAAGACTTGAGAGTCGCCTGGAAAGAAACGCAGTAGTGCACTAAGGGGCTGTTTGGAAAGAGGTTTTTTAGGGGGAAAGGGCTGGAAAGCCTGTCAAAACCCTGCCAAAAGTGCAACTTTTGGCAGGCTTTCCACCCAAATGGCCGCACTTTTGGCAGGCTTTCCCCCTACCCAAATCGCAAACAAACAGCCCCTAAACGGGACAATTACTAATTAGCACTTAAGTACCTTAAAGTTTCACCTACTTCTCATTTACATACCTTAGATGTATTCTGTCGCACTTTCTACCCTAGTTTTTTAAAAGTCATGTTAGTGCCTTCTTTTAGTCAACCGTCAGATATAAAGATAATCATGTACCTTCTGTTAGACAACCGTCAGAATATTCAGTAAGAGATTCCCATGTGATTGTCACATGATGATATAGAATTTTTATATAGTCGTAGCACCAAAAATTAACACCATCTAAATAACTTAACAGAAGAAAACTGTGTATAAAAGTGTAACGGAACACAAGAAGCCTCGAGTGATTCATCCCATTATTGCCAAATCTGCTCACCTGAGTTCAACTCAAAAAGGAGCCTCGAGTGATTCATCCCAGACATCCCCACTTCCATTGGAGGCATCTTCAGCATCATCTTCCATAGAAAGCCTGATGTACTCTCTGTGTGCAAACCGGTCCCATTCTGTCAATGTCGGATCTTCCCGCTCCTGTAAACATAGAAACGTTATCAACAACCATCATAAGTTCTGCACTCGCGGTATTCAATATGAGAAATATGTGGAAATTCCATCCTAAACTCACCTGACGAATTAAAAATGGATCACGAGTTTCAAATGCCATGAACTTGTTGAGATTAAAAAGGATATTAAAAATGTTTCCTGAGAGTTTGCAGCCCTTCAAATCACGCAGAGTAAAGTAGCTCTCATTCTGCACATGGATTATCAGAAATATTTTAGTTGTCCTTAACTAGTTGGCATAAACATACATATGTAAAATATAAGATATGCACAAAATGACCTCTGGCCCAATCATATCAACCATCTGACATAAAATGTCTTCAAAAAGTACTGGTTCCTGAGCCATGCATTCCATACGATGCAATTGCTCCTCATAAAAGAATTGCATCTCGTTGGATGTGAGAATTCCATTTCCATCCAAATCGATGCATTTGAACCTGATTATTCAAATAACGAGTAAAAATATGTAAAGCTTGAATCATGTACAATTTATGAATGCTCGGTTGAGACAGAGTGCTTTAGATGTTGAAGCAGCTTTGTTCTTGTATGTCCTATCTCTGAATGTACTGATCTCACTGTGTCACACGCATTCTATAGTTTCCATAAGAACCAGACCAGAGATCTAATGAACATCAGATCTAATACACATCAAGGTAGGCCTCCAAACTCAACATGTAGCTTTGTCACAGCAAGTCAACAAAAAAATCATAGAGACTTGATTTCAAGTTGACTATCTAATGTTAAAGCATTTTCGGGCTTCGTATCCATGCAGATGAAAGATAAACAAGAAAATGTCTATCTTTGATTTAAGTTTTTAGAAGGTATCCAAGTACCCTGGACTTTATTTCTCTAGGAAAAGCTACACAATGTTTCTAGAGGTGAAACAAGAAGAGAAAAAGTATCCCACAAGAGCTGAGATTTCAGTCTGAAACACTGAATATGAGGATGTCAACAGCTTCAAATGCAAGATGGAAAAAGACGAGCATACCTTGCCATCTTGCTTTAGCAGTCAACCCAAGGCTAATGCTTTTGATGTGATATACTAGATAAGGTTTGAATTCAAACCCAAACTAGAAATTGCAAAAAAATAAAAATTTAAATTCTGATCAACTGCGAGATGGCCTGCAAAACTATTTTAAAACTGCTTTCTTGATATGGCGGATCATCAAGATGAGAAAAATAGGAGAAAAAGTGGGTTTTATCCAGTCTGCTTCAATGAGGATAAGATGACAGAATTTCTTGGGGTGTTTATACACTGGCAGAGTGCGCTAGGTAGAAGCACTAAAGGATTGTGACTGAAGCCTTGAAGGATCATTCAGAAGCGTGACTTTCTGGAATTAAATCTGTAAGATTTTGACCTGAAGCTTTGATGGATCATCCAGAAGAGCAACTTTCTGGAATTAAATCTGACTTATTCCCGTTGTATTATCAATCATCAAAGTTCCCAAAATGAAAAACAGGTATAAAACAGCCCATTAACCAAAGGAGACCTCTAACGTGAAAAGAGAAGAAAAAGATCAACAACGCATGAAAATTGATAACCATGGTAATCAATAGGAATGCGTCTTGTTACCAGTATTCAAGGCTGGGCTCGGATGATTTATCCTCCTCTGCCAGCATAAAATAAACAAAATCTTCATATCCCATTTTCCCTTCCACCTTGCTGGTAAATTTTCTTGGAACCTACAATAGAATTCAAATAACAGAAAGGAAATGGCATACAACATTAGAATCAGATGTTTTATAAGACATTCGCATAATATCTAATGAGGAGCAAATATATACAAACCTGTGAGAAAATTCTATCAACTATTCTGTAAGTAAGCGCATGGTTTCCATATCTAATAAGGTTCTCCTTATCAATCAAGAAGTCATGATCAGAATCCAGCTCCCAGAACTTGCAGTATATCACATAGAAATGCTCATAAGAGAAGTACCTGCGTGAGCTAAGCAACATAAGATCTCGAACTTGATTTTGCTCCCAATGGAGTATGCGCAAAAGTTATGTAGCACTGTAACATCACTTAAATGAGCAGTCTTACAAAACTAGGAAGGACTACAAAATAAGTGAAGGATGACAGAATTGTGTGTCTGTGTCTGTGTCCATGCCTGAGATCTACATTTCTTTTCTTTTTTATTTTCATCTTTTGTAGGTCTTGCATTTTGATCTTTAATTTAAAGGCACAGAGTCACTTCAGTGCAGAGAATACAGATAAAAGTATGCTTGCATCTCGAGGGCAAGAAAACCAAAAAATATTTGGAGTGTAAGAAACAAATTTTGTCATATTGACTTCAAAGATTAGTGCATGGACAATATCTAGCAATATAAAAGGAAAGGACTATTGAGTATAGCATGAAAATTTGGCAAAGTAGCAAAGAATCCAGTGGTTAACAGTTTGCTCGCATCTCTAGGGCAAGAAGACCAAACATTTGAACTCTAAGAAACAAATTTTATCATATTGACTTCGAGATTAGTGCATGGACAATGGCTAGCAATTCTGAATATAGCATGAAAATTTTGCAAAGTAGCAGATATCAATACCGCAAAACTCTGTTAATATCTTCTTCCTCGTCCGCATGCTGCATTGCAGCAATTAGGTTTCCTCGTTTAAGCTCCCTCAGTGTAAGATGGCCATTTCCAGATCTATTTACATAGTAAAATATTCTGTAGATGACAGTTTCCGCTGGTTACAAGATCAGAGTCATGTCAGACAAATGCTGAGGAACTTCAGATTTAAATAAGAAATATAGATGTCAATGGAACTAGGTTACATGAGCTACTACATCAAACCATATCAAGAAGAAACACAACTTGAAATGCAAAATCCATGAATTCTAAGTAAGCTTAATTTATAGATGTTCATTCTTCGATCAAAAAAAGCAAAACAGCAAATAAAGCGAATCTTTTTTAGGAACAAAGGCATCATGTTTAGAGAGCCTGAGATATCCTAACAAGATTAGACAAGAGTGTAGATTCAAGCACAAAAGACATAAGATAAGGAAAAAAAATACACCATATTGAGACAAAACACCACCGCCGGTAAAAGGATCTTAGCAAGAACAAGAACTATAACAACACAAAATCTTTATCCCAACTTTAGAGGTTGGCTCGATGGATTATTTTCTTATCTTCAGCTCTGTTAAAGGGATTCTCCTCAACTAAATTAACCAGTATATCCTTTTTACTTGCCTCCATCCACAATTGTTTAGGCCAAGCATTTCTCCTCAACTAAATTAACCAGCATATCCTTTTTACTTGCCTCCATCCACAATTGTCTAGGCCAAGCCTTTCTCCTCCACTGACTACAATGATACAATCTTACCAATTCGCCTGATTGGTGCACTTATTAGCCACCTCTGCACCTGCCCAGAGAATCTTGACTGGTTGTCTTTAGGTTTATCCTGATCAGAGTCAATCTCAACTTCTGACAAATGCAATAACTATTTGTTCTCTTGGCATATAGATATCCATCCATCTTAGCATTCTCATTTCTGCTACACTAGTTTTTGGATGAACTTTACATTCATGCAGAGAATCTTTATCCTGACTTTAAAGGTTGGCTTCATGGATTATTTTCTTATCTTCAGCTCTGTTAAAGGGCTTCTCCTCAATTAAATTAACTAGTATATCCTTTTTACTTGCCTCCACCCACCATTGTTTAGGCTAACCTCCAGCCCTTTCTCCTCCATTAACTACAATGATACAATCTTTACAATCTTAACAATTCTCCTGATTGGTGCACTTATTAGCCACCTCTGCACTAACTGGTTGTCTTTAGTTTTATCCTCATCAGAGTCAACCTCAACTTCTGACAAATGCAATAACTATTTGTTCTCTTGGCATATTGATATCCATCCATCTTAACATTCTCATCACTGCTACACTAATTTTTGGATGAAATTTACTTTCATGAAGTTGTAGCTTAAACAAAGTTTCTCCACAGTGATACACATTACTTTAAAAAAAGATCGTAGGAATATTGTACCAGCAACTTCCTTACTATGTAGCACGGACACGGATCCGACACGGCCATCCGACACGCCGACACGAGGCAAATCCTAACAAATACATAGGATACGTGTGTTCGACACGTGTGTCCGACACGGACACGACACGACACGGCTTCATGTTATGCGTGTCCGTGCTTCATAGCTTCCTTATACTCCTCACAAACTTGAGCCTTTTGCTTTCCTGAATACATGTTATAAACCAATGTACACTAGTTTAACTAAATATTTCGTATGAATCCCCATTTACTGAAAAATCCAGTGTACCGATAGCAGGAATCATTTTCTAATGTCTATGTGTCCGCCTAGCCAGATTGACATGCTGTCTTCCTCATCCTTCTCATGTGCTACATGCATTCCTTATTTCCCAACATTTCCATACCCAAAATGCCAGTGCAGCCAGTCCAATTGCTATGTATTCTTTTCCACGCCTACATAGCATATCCTGGAGTACAAGATAAGCACCTTCCACTCCTAGTACACCAAAAGTTAATTTGGCACATCATTACTATATATACTAATTCAGTCATACAACTGAACAAACCAGGAATCTGTTGCCAGAGTACAAACCATTACAGATTGTTCAATCCTTTAAATAAGTTAAACACTGAACCAAACAGATATAGAAACAGTCAAAATAACAATAGGCCCACAACAAAGCCTGCTACTTCCACAGATAGATATCTTACGGAAAGCTGGCATTGCTAAAAGTAAGAACAACAAGTGCAGCATGATTCATATCTAATTAAAACCAATACTCTTAAGGAAAAAAATATTCAGCTATCTGCAACTACAAGGAAAACATGCATCTATCGAATAGCCAATAATGCTGCGTGATTCTGTGGATATGACTTGACAATAATACTACTTCTGTAGCCAATAATGCTGCATGATTCTGTACATATGATTTGACAATAATACTACTTCTGTCACTGGTAACACTAGCTTAAAAAAACTTACCGTATCTTTCCTGGAACTCAGGCGTGTTCTGCAAGAATTCCAACCCTGGATGGCTTGCCAAAAGTTCTCGTAGAACAGGTTTGAAGTCCTCCTACACCCACACATTGAACTGAATAAGAAATAGAACTCAAAAACATATGTCTAGGCACTAGATCTGCAAGAATAAAAACTGTATAACAATGTTCACTGCATGTAAGTTTAAAAAAAACAGATATTTGTCATGTTTTATGACATGAACAAGAGGATTTTCCCTTAAACAAAGTGCTGACCTGAGTCAGGTACTTGCGAGCTGGTTGCTTCAAAATTGTGAATATTTGTGTAGCTATGTCCCTCGTCATCAAGTTGCTATCTATCCAATACTTGACGAAGGCATTCCTGAAAACAGTAAAGAAAAGCAGCTACTAAGTGTAGGTGCCTCTAATTAAAAATTAACAGCCAAACAGTTAAACTGAACTAAGAGAGGCTAGTCTTATGTTGTTTTCCTCCCAAGTGATAATTAGAACCCAAAGTGAACTTAGGAACCCCCCCCCCCTCCATCCCCCAACAAAGAAAAAAACAAAAACAAAAAAAATATGCTGGAAATTAAATGCATCGCCAGATTTGCCACACTAATTCTTTATTTCGCGATGTGGAGTAGAAAAAAAATAAAAAATAGTTCCAGATACCACAAAAAGGTGTTTTGCCTCGTGTAGCATATTTGGGGATAATACAACATGGCTAGTTGTGTAAGTATGCATGTCTGTGCCCATTAGTTTTTCTTACACTGACCATGTATATCACTATGGCAAACTTCACCTGATGCCCTTGTACCCTCACATAAAAGCCCTCTATGGTGAGTTCAGTAAGCTCACAAGGGGAGCGATGGTAATTATCACTATAACACAATAGTAAAACCTCTTTGTATTGTGCATGAGGTCATCAAGAATGAAGTACTACTATGTCTACTTTATGTTACGGCATTCAGTAAACCTGATATTCGTAAAGGTACTTAGATGGAACTGATATGTTAGTAAGTGGCCATCGCCTCCACACTATATAAACAATATTCTGTAGCTTACCCCTATCCTCCAATTACACAGTTTCACGTGCCCCTCTAAAGCATGATGTCTTTTTCTTTAGGTCATCGTAAAAAAATGGTTTTCTTTCCTCCAAGAGTTCAATTTTGCATTAAGTGCAACTCCAGATCTCTAACAAGCGCGGAGTGGGGGGGGGGGGGCGGCAGAGCAGTACACCGACTCCTTACACCTGTGGGCTCTTGGAAGGCTCCAGATGTAGAGGGCCTTGCACTGCTCAGGATAGATCATTTCCATCTCTCAAACTCATGCCCTCAAGATCCATTAAAGGAGATGATGGAATTGCATAACATGTAATGTACAAAATTTAGTCTCTTCTTAAAAGTTCAAAATTTGCATATAAAAGCAAATGTTAGGGGGACTCCACAACGCATGAAGATCTATGCAGGCCTGCAGGGTAAACGAAGGGTTCGGAATTACACAGCTGTATACTGCCTTGAATAG